AGGCCTTTCTTCCTCATCCCTCTTAACCTAAAAGCTCTGCAAAAATGTGCTCAGCCGGGATCATGAGGGCAGGGGGATGGCCCCTCTGAAGAGGGTGAATAACAGAAATGTGGGGAAGGGAGACAATGGACAGTGTAAGATACAAAACATTAATAACAATATATACTTGATCAAGGATTCACGAGAGTGGAAGGGTGGGGGGTGGGTGGGTAAAGAGGAGCTGACCCGAAGGGCTCTAGTAGAAACGGTTTTGGAGATGATGATGCAACCTGTGTGCAAACAGGCTCGATCCCACTGCTGTAAGGAATGTTGTGAGAGCTGTAAGAGCCCCCCGTAAAATGCTTTTAAATAAATACCTAAATAAACAAGCTAGAATTATATATGGAAAGGAAAACAAAAAAAAACTGTGTCCAGCATCTTAGCCCCTCACCGGCCTCCACTGACAAGCGGGGTGGCCGGGCATGAGCCCCGAACACCCACCCCAGCTGCTACCAAGTCTGTCCAAACTCATAGCGACCCCATAGGCCAGGGAAAGGGCTCGGTGTTTTCTGAGACTGTCCACCTCTACGGAAGCAGACAGCCTCGTCTTTCTCACTCATGGGGGGCTGGCGGGTTTGAGCCGCTGACCTTGTGAGGAGCAGCCAGGCTCCTGATCCCATGGGTCACCAAGGGTCCTTGCATACACTGAGGTTCCCAGAGGACACAGGCTGGGTGGGTGGCGTGAGCCTGGGCATCCTTGGTCCTCAAACTGTTGTCCGCCTTCTCCTGCCCTTTCCTCTCTGGGTACCAGACAGGTAGACCCTGGTCCCAGGCCGGCACAGCCAGGTGACGCCATGCCATCCAGAGACCATCCCTTCGGTTCCTGCAGCCCCCTGAGCCCGCTCCTGCCCGGCCCCCGTGAGGAGCAGCCACCCGCCAAGGGCCTGTACTACCGCAGGGCCCGCAGGCTGGGCAGCCCGGACGCCTCCCTGGTGACCGACCTGCAGAAGGAGCTCCTGGTCAACGTCGGGGGCAGGCGGTACCTGCTGCCCTGGAGCTCGCTGGACGCCTTCCCC